ACTTTCCTTGAAGGATATCAGTGCAAGGAAGGAAGTTTACCGACAAAACAAAATTAGCATTAGCTTACAAAAATCTATTGTCGTTGACTTTTGAAAACAGAACATAACCTCCCTAAGTTCACATGCATTATTCCTCACTGTTCAGTGTTCCATACACTATTGTCACCTGAGTGGGAAGTTGTGCCGATCAATATCGTACGTTTACTTCAGTCGTTCGCAAATCGTGATCATGTTCTCAGATAAACCCCACTCTAAGTTAAGAGGCCAGAAAAGGATCCGACCAAGCTCTAGTACATACACCTCTTCCTAATAGTCAAGTGAAGCATTTATCAACAGAACCCTAGTTACACGGCACAGCCGACATTTCATTTGCTTCAGGCTAGTCACCTGGATGGTCCTCCAGGATGGTCTCCATCTTTCAGCTTTGTCCCACAAGGGGAAGCATACAGGAAACTTTACTTTTCAACCAGTCAGGAAACAAATACAAATATCCTTACGTCGTTTTAATTGCATTTCGAAAATTTGTTATGATGTCCGCTTGTTTTAATCCATCAAAATAGATTTGCACTTTTGACTTTAATGCCAAGATCTGTTCCGACAGAGAGCTCATTTGAGAGTTTCCCACATAATGCGTACAGCTGCTAGCAAGTATCGTCAAATCCGTTTCAGGCGTTCAAGAATAAAATCAGTTTTATAGCTGCTCAAGTTTTTATCTAACTTCTAAATAGGTCGACCTAAAGGTACAGTAACCCTAAAAAATTGATAAAACTAAAGGGAATCTGATGATTTGAACCACAAATATGCAACTTTTATATCTCGATTTCGTGATGTCGACAGAACTTCTTAAGTCCCGCAACTTCATTACACCCGGCACTGTGTGTGGCATGAAATACGGACAATAATAAATGAATAAACGAAAGAAATATCGCTATAACGACCTTCCAGGTGAACAACACTTTCTCGATGAGGTTAAATAAGCCATCTGCGCGTTATCTTCTCAGTTGTTCAAGCTTTGGAGCCGAATATAAGTTTCCTGCGCGATCATTTTTGTTTGGAAGTTCCTGGGTTGTTGTTGTTGTTTTTTTTTTTAACGATTCCTTTCGTATTCTTCCTTTCCTTTCTTTCTGCTGTTACGAGTACAGTACGTTCGGTTAGCGAAGTTATGAGAAAGAAGCGTGAAAAAATTGACAACTGTGGTAGCACTAACACAGAAGAATAATTTCCGCCTTTGGAATTTCATGTTGCGTGCCTCAGCTTATCAGTACTGTATAAGCTTGTCTTAAGAAAACATAGCCCAGACTACCTATGGTTGGCCGCCACTCCTATCGGTTTTATCACATCAATTATTTGGCCGTCACACAATCACCTGATAGTGTTATCACTCAGTTTGCTTTATTATTAATATTAATTACAATTAAATTCAATTTATTTACAATTCGCTGGCAATATACCGTTTTAAAATATGTTTCCTTGAACTTAAAAAATGCAAAATTCTTTACAACCCCGAGTAAGTTCTTAATGCTGCAAGGTTCTTAATAAACCGCCCCATAATTTACATAGCATTTTCCAAAATAAAGTCAGCGTTCTCGCAAATAAATCTCTGAATATGTCGGTCGCAACGCGACGATTATTCAGTCTACAAACCAATGCACCATGACATTAAGTGGTGTCGGTGAAAACGGCTGGAGATTGTCATCATTGTTGAAGTTGACGAAGAGATTCGATTCGGCCGCAATATTAAGGGCCCCTACTCGCACTTACGACTTTTACGTGAATTCTCCAATCTCCTCTACAGCGAGAAACTCAACCAAAAAAGCTCACAAATACTTGACAAATTTCTCTTCCACATGGAGAGCATAAGTCCAAAGTAGAGTCTCTTGGTAAAAAATCGCGCAGATTTTGAGTTAGACGAGCCGCGTCTTTTGATCCATACGCACCAACGTAAGCCTCCTCGTAGCGAGTTTTATACGCAGCCGCCTCGTTGTCCAGCCTGGCGTACTCCTCTAAAAGACAACGAGTCAAAGAACTAGAGCTTGATCTTCTTCGAGAATCTGTCTTTTCAGCCATGGTTAGTTTTCTTTTCAATGTAAATCGCGAAGACTCCGGAGCTCTCCACCTCTCTTTATTTCACAACAACGTAACCTCTTCTAAGCAGTATGCGGAAAATTTGCTATTTTATGGACAGTCAGGTCAACGCCAATAACTTTTCGACAGCTTGTCATGAGAACATCATTCACAGCACATCTGGTCTTATTCTTATCCGACGGAGACGTGATTGTGTGTTGAATCAGCCAAGCTGCACGGAGCACCGCCCGGTTGGGTCGATCTAAATTTAGTACCACCCACCGGAGGTGAAGTGTTTTGGCCCATTGTTGTGCAGGTGAAACGGAAGCACGTCATCTCTATTTCAAGATCTACGCTGTCTCGCAACCTGACAAAGCTACGATTTATTTTGGAATGAAGTCCAAATAACCAATCCCACAGCGCTCCAAATTAACTTAAGAAAACCAGAAAGCTCATTGATGATCGCTAACCAAATAAAGACCCATCGATATGAAAGTTGAATTGTTTTCGGATGAACTGTCCGCCCTCTAGGGCCAAAACAGAACAGATGGCGCAAACAAAGTCGGACAATACCTTCCTTGTAGCGCCATATGAACTATAATAAGATTTTTTTCGTGGACTGCGGAATAATTGCCGGCGTTTGGGTTACTCAACGAAATTCAAAGACACAAAGCTTGTTACAGGATCTGCTTCGAAATAATTGGGAAGCAACTGATCAAAATAATTGAAGTAAAATGAATTGGATCAAGTACGTGATAAAAATATTTGTTTGAAATAGCCAAGCTTTGGTGATTACTGGTAAGAATTAAAGTAGTTTGTTATGCAAAGGTGACAGCCGAACATCTTTCACCAGCCACAAAATTCTCAGAAATTGAAAAAAGAACGATCTGGTAGGATAAATCTGCAAACGCCTCTCGAAAGGACTGTGTGGAAAGTTTGTTTGACTTCTAAATGAATTGCAACATCACACAACGTGACGACTTTGCAATTCTGAATTGACACAATTACCCGAGAGTATTTTTCATTTTCTTAAGATCGAATTTATCTCTGTTTTCAAAGCAAAAAATAAAATTAAAAATTGGGCGCCTTAAAAACAGATGGTCAAGCTGTTGCCTTGATTTATCTACATATCGAGTCTTTTGTTCTAAATTTAGCCATTACTAACAACGGTACTTATCATAAATTAACGAAAAGTAAGCAATATCGACCACTTACTCCTACAGTTTTCCTTTGGATGGTGTTATGGTGTCTGATAGCCTAGCGTCAGTGTCAATAATTGTATCTTGAATTTGAAAACCCGTAAAAAAAGTGGGTCACCTGCACACAATGTGGACCGACAAAACCAAAAATAGTGGGAATTTATTAAACGTGTGTGAGCGTTCAACTTCAGTTGATCTTTTCGTCTTCTTTAACACACCGTTTCACTGATAATCAACTACCTTCCGCGAATCGATACGGGTGAAAACTGAACAACACTTGTGGTATTTTAGTCGCATTTTCAAGCCCATTACTTCACGTTTCGCCATCCCAAATCTTTCCGACAATTTCCATATTTCAAGTTTGTGAACTTTCACACGTCTAAAATTTTCATTGTACAATTGCCACAAAAAGTAGTGTGAGAGACATACGTGCACCACAGCGTGCCCTTGTATCCGGTATGACGCGAAAAAAAGAACAAAAATAAATGCTGAAAATTTTGAACGCGAGAGCGTGGGAATAATATGAAGTAAATTCTGCGCTCATTAGTCCTCAAGAGGCAAAATATTAACCAACAAAATTATATGTTTGGCTTTTTCGTTTATTTGATATGATTAATTCAGTTACAAATGCCTGAACAGCCGACAATTCTCAAACTGGAAAAATATTTGATAAAATACTCATGACATGCCAAATATTGAAATAAACGATATTTTGTTTTTCTACATCCACTAGGAAGTCCGCACGACATCAACCAGGTGAGTGCTGTGATGAGCATTGTTTTACTTCAATAAGACGCTCAAAATAAAAGTCTTTTCTCTACTAACTAGGTGGACAAAGCTAATAGTAGCTGGAAAACATACACTGGTAAACAAAACGATTACGCAGTTGATAATATTTCTGGTTTCGATAGGGTGAAATGAGTGGCTCGTCATAAACAATAGAAAACCAGACTTTGCGTGCAAAGAGTTTTGTTTAGCCACCCTAACTTCACGCAATTAAGATATCAATGCGCATTTGCGAACTGGTCTATAAATACGTATCTCGAAATAACACGCATTGAGTATTTCAACGTGCCAGTAAAGTCATTGCCTTACTTCAACTGCTTTTATGCTGAGAAAACCGTCTTTTCCTTGAAGTAAGTTTAAGGGGAGTTTGTCTATGAATGAAGTACAGTGAAGACATTTCAAATTCCTTGAAAATGAAGAAGGGACACCAAGTCAAGCTATTGTCGTCCAAGAAAATTTTAACAGAAGAAGTTTTGGAAAAATTCGCAAAAATTGACAGAGAACACGAAGTATTCCGAAAACAGTTCCAAACTGCCTGGATGAATGTGTTTGGAGCCACCCTCACTTCGCTGCAGACTTCTTTACAAGACAACTTGTTCCTAATGGTCGACGACTGTTACACCGAAGACTGTCCAAAGAAGGCCGATTGCGGTTTAATTGTGCAAGGATTTTTCGGTTAGATTAGAAACAGACACGGCCGCGGCACCTACACCATTGTATTCGCCCGAGCAGTTTTCTCCGCCCTTGACGCAATGATCAAAGCTGAAGTTCGATCTTGTTCAAGAAAAAGACAAAAAGGTTCTATAAAGACAACCTGAAAACTTCCATGGCTTGGAACAAAGAAACAGCGCATTACAAAATGGCGTTAACTTAGTTAATGAGCACGTTTTTGCTTTGAGTCATTATTTCCAGCCAATAAATTCTTAAAATGCTAGAATAACAAGAACTCGATCGGGCCTTCAAAAATATTTAATTAGCTTCAACCAAAAAAAACAGTACTGTTACACAGAGTTAACAACTCACCCAACTAAGAATAGGGTATTTCCTTTAAAGCCTAAAGGAAAATTCTTGAAAAATTATATTAAATAGGGTTTTTATTCGATCAGTATTATAGGGTTATTATCCGATCGGTATAAATCATTTGAAAGCGTGAGAAAACCTCAGTGGAATTGTACGAGACTAAAATGATAGCCTCAGGGTTTTGGAAGTCTGTGAAATTGTATAAATAGCAGATAAAAAGTGATTAAACAATTGATAATATCTACATAACAGAAGCCACAAATCATCAAAACACTTCTCAATCTTATGGAACGAAAACAGGAAAACAGCAACTTTTCATGCAGTTGCGAAACAGTTGAACAACTCATAAGTACTGTAATGCTGTATACCTCATAAACTTCATTTATAGTACAGTATGTACACCCTTACCTTCGTTAACTTTTTCGCGCTTATAGCTATAACAAAGGCCACAAATACATCTGGAAAATATACATTTCATGCTTCCTAAATATAGATATACCTTTATCTCTTTTTTTTCCTCAGTCTGTGAATAGTCATAGCCTCACACGTTTTGCACGCAATGACTTACGGAAACACTTTGGTAAGAATTTCGCGGTTGACCGTAGAGTAAAGAACGTTAAAAAGCCATTTCCTGATTCCTCATAAAATAAATTAATATTTACAACAAATCTAAGAGTTTTAGATACGGGCGACAAAGATATCAGTGATTTATGTGCCAAACATGCAATATAATTGATGTTAAAGATGCTCATTGATTGTCAGACGCATACAATTCCGGCTGAAGCCCTCAGTTCCGTTGTTGAATGACCTAACCTTGTTTGAGAAAGACTACAAGACATGGCAGCTATGTTTGCGCACTGAGTCGAGAGAGAGTAAAAGCTTGTTTCACAGGCGGTGTTGGCCCTTTGAAGATGTTTCCGAGACAATGTCGATCAAAACTAAACATAAAGACAATGTACTGTGAGTTAAGTTTTCCATTCACTCACGTCGCATATCGTTTAAAATCCTGACCGGCCCTTTCTCGAAACCCGCACCCCTGACACGAATCTTAAAAAACTACATTTGCCTTTTGAACTCAGCCTACTTCATTGCAAAAACAGAAAGTGCTTGGTAGAATAAAAGTAGTTTGGAAAACATCGGCGATCAACGATGCGACCGAATACCAAGTTTTTTCATTCGGTCTGACTGTCCACTTCTTGACGTCGAGCGTACCGGTGAACCCCTGGGTATCAGACTTTCCCTGTCCTTGAGTTCAGCACCGTGATCTCTTCAAATAAAATTTAACAAGTGCCACGTAGAGTATGATATGCTTGATTATAACAACGGACCGCCGTGGAATGCGCAACTAGAATGTTTCTTTATGGTGTCTCTCAGTAAAAATTAATTTGTCGAGCATCGCCTGGAGTCATCTCCAGCGGACAATAAGGGCACTTCACTCTGGTGACAGAAAACAATGAGCTTTTCAGTTGGTAAGAGAACAATTGGGTGCTTGGATAGGTTTTCCATAATTAACCACACCTTAATCAACCAATCTAATGCTAAAAGAAAACCAATCGCACTTTGATCATTCGCACTTTCACGTGCTTCAAGCAATTTGCCTGAGTTTCCCTTTCCTCTTTTCCTTTCGTTCCCTTGATTATGACTGGCCGTTGTCAATTCTGGCTCTAGGTTTAAGATACTCAAATGAAATGCTCTCTTTGAGAGAGATTGGTGCCAATGAAGATGAGAGTGATCATCAAAGTTATGCGACGGTCACCAACAAATGTATGACATTCAAATATTCACTGTCGTTAATGATAACAATCTTAAGATCTAAGGTTTTTAACGGAATTCTTAATGTTAGAGCTAAGCTAACAATGGAAAGTAACTGGGCGCGGACTTAAAAGACTTAAAACTTCCTCTAGTATGGACGAGATTGCGATTACTCTTTAAAACTAAAATAGCAAGTTATTCCATAACACGTCATGACGTACTTGTTTCCGTTTGTGAGCTTGTTGAGAGCATCTCTAGAGATCACATGACCACATGACAGTCGAACGGGAGGGTTTGCATCTGTACACTGTTGCCGTAAAATGGGACAGGCGAACAGTGAATGGTAACGATACTGTGGGCCGAGGTCAACTTCAACCTGAAAACATAAACAACAAATAATAAGACCTCAATTACTATCAATCTCGTGCTAGTAGTAATTTGGTTCTACAGAAACGTGGTCAGAAATTATTTCCATATGGCTTTTCTGACGTGCATTTTAAGTCCCAAGTCAAAGGGCAGGGGTGGTTATAGAAAGGTAAGAATACTGAAAGGGGTGTTCCAAGAAAACATTGAAATTCATTTCAACTGGGGTCGATTGAGACAGTTGCATGTAGACATTGGTTAAGCAGTGAACACACAGTCTCAATAGGCAGCCAAAAGTCCCTTCACCCGTTTGGAGACTCATTACATTAATTCATACCTTACAAAAATATACCACGTTCTCCCATTATAACAGATATGAATGGCCGATATACCTATTTACAAGTAGTTACATACTGACCCATACGAAAAAGCTTAAATTTTTTTACAAAAGTCAAAAGATGCTCTAAAACACATCAATCGCTCAAAATACCAAGACTTAGTAGTAGAAATTGTTATCAAATAAATCATGCATGATTCCCTATCCCCAGAAAAAGATGGAATGCTTTTTGAGTCTACGGTTTGAGGCAACGTAGACTCCTTGTTATCGTGCCCATGAGTTCGTCCGTAAACATTCCCATCATTCGTGGCGGGCTTACACATACAAACATTACAGTAAATCATTTGGGAAAATGGCTGAAAGCAAATTTCCTAGTTATTGTTATGACCTAAAATTCACCCCTTGCATTGGTCACGGTGTTTCACCCCTTCATAGTTCATTTTCCGAGTTCAGAGGCCCACAGCCACTTTGACTTTCACTTTTGTTCGCACCGTTTGCATGCGGGTGCTTTTTCTACGAGTCGAGCTCAACTTCATCAAGGAAGTGGTAGTTTTGATTCTAGTTGCACAATCGTTACCTTCAGTAGAGCATTCAATAACCTATTTACTTAGAGTTATGCCTAGTTCGGATAGCTTTTTTTTTCGGTTCGGCTGTACCTCTGATTTGATGCGTCACATCACTCTCGATTGCTTTCAGCTCTAGCTCTGCAAAATGAACCCTCTATGGGTTTGCCTTGCATATTAAGAACCTTTCTAACTAAAAGCGGCGCTTAAGAAAGTCTTAAGTGAGTCTTGTAAGAGGATATTTGAGCCTCCTAAGAGGATATTTGAGACCCGGTGTAAACAAAAAGCGCAACGTGGACTCGTGAACCCGTAGGGTGCCAATTTTTTTTAATGAAGTTAAGAGGTTGGGGGCTCAAGAGGGGGAGAGGAAAAGATCATCGAGGATTGGAAGTCGAATTGTCTCAATATGTGCTGTCATTGTGAACACAAGTAGTTCTAAAAATTAACACTCTTCTAAAAACATAACGATGTTGCAATAGAAAATCACCACTTATTCCACAGTAATTTAAAAAAATACTTACCGGAAGTTCATCTTTAGATGTCCACACACCTGTGACCTGTCGCTGCTGCATAACTTGTCTGATCTGAAGAAGTGATGGTAGAGCCACACTGCCTGCTGTGATGCACACCTGTAGAGGGCTCTCTAATGACAAACCTAACAATGCACAGGCATCCCTAGCAAACACATCACAGATGTCAAGCCAATGAACTGGGTCCAGTAAAGAAGCATATGGTGAATTCTCAATACCCTTGCGACTGTACAAGAGACATGCCATCAGCTGTTGTACATCTGTGGAGAAAAGAGTACAAGATGTGCTCTTTAAAACACAGTGGTCTGATGCAAAGCTCATGAAAACATTAGAGAACTTTCTGTCCAAAATAAAAATTTAAAAACACTTGTCTTACCTTTAGTATGGTCTGAGGCAAAGCTTGCAAATTGTTTTGAGTACTCAAGGGCCTCCTTATGTTGACCCTCCTTAAGAAGATCAAGAAATTTTAATTTGTGTAATCTAAATTCAAGAGAACTACCCCTTAGTTTGAGTTCCATGTGTCTGGACTGAGCCCATCTGAAAAAACAAAAACAAAAAAAAGACACAAATGTATATCTAAATCACAAGAAAAGTAAAGTGAGGGCTCATTTTTGATACAGAAACCCGACAAGCACAGACAATTTAACTCTCTAAAATTTTAAAGCCCTTACTTACTCCATCAAGTTTCACAGTAAAAAGAAATGATAACTTTTAGAGCAATGTTATCAACCTTTTGACCCATAATTCTCCTTGTAAGAACCATCGGAAATGTTTAGACGACAGGATGGAAAAAATGTATACTTATGTTAGGGTATAAAGGGTTAAGTGACATGACAGGAAGTGAAGTGCAAAGACAAAACTGATAAATACTAAATAAGATGTTTTAATAATGGTTGTCTCTCAGAATAATTGCGAAAGTGTAAGTGAAAATGCTACAATGTTTTATGGATATTTGTTGTTTTCTGTGGTTGGATTAAAGATCACAAAATGTTATTCTAAAGAATGGTGAATGAATATTCATTTACATACTCAAGTTACACTTGAGTCTCTTTCTGTTTTGTTAAGAACTTCTATCAGACATGCTAAACTCTACTTAATTTAAAGGAAGAACACAGATGAGAAATGGTTGGCAGCCAACATTCCTTGGATGATGTGATTGTTTAATCAGAATACAGAGACTGAGAACTATAAAATGAGAATGTCTGGGTGTTCGCCAAACTTTACAGCGTTATTCAAGTAAATTCTGAACATGGAATCCATGTTACTGGTTAATTATGCATTTAATTCCTTATAAAATAAAGAAATGGCTACTGAACAAAATCATTTGGTGTTTCAATATTGTAAATTTTTTTGTCACCAATAATCAAAGAAAATAAGGTACAGTAGCCTGCAAAAGATGACAGACTACTGACAGTATGGGCCACCTACCCACTGTTATGGACACTTTTTTGTTCATAACAATGTAAAAAATGTAAGTATAAAAATTGCATGAATCTGCAGGTAGTCTTTGGCTCATCTAGGTAGGTAAAATTTTTACTAATATATATAAAAGACAGTTATGAACTTGTATCCCATTAAGGAAGAGGAAACAAATTTCTTGAGCTTTAATGAAACAACAGTTACATGTACATACCCCTCATTTCTAAGACTTATATGTACCTGTAATGCTCTCTAGAGTTTTTTTGGGGAAAAAAAAAAAAACCCAATGTATTCACTCACTGTAGAGCTGGGTCTAAGTTTCTCTCTCTACAAGCCTCCAGGATTCTGTTGAGTTCAGTGAAAGGTTCTCTTCGTGAATCATCAATCTGCAGATTGGCTTCCTGTTGTAAGTGTTAACAAACTCAGATTGTAATATTTATTACAGTGTAGCAAATATGGCTGAGAATGTTTAAATTGCCTTAATTGTATACGTTTTATATGCTAGTTAGAAAACAAACTTGAAAATCAAAATTGATGAATAGCACATATATATCAAATTTGGAAATTTTTGCAAAGATGTTAACTTTGCTTAAAGATACTTAACCTAGGCTTAGCTATGAAGAGAGAGATTGAAAAGTCCTTTGAACACTTATCATATAACCTTTTATAAAAAGGCTGCATATTTTTTTTATTGACTGCCTGTTGAAAGTGTTTAGCATTAGCAATGTTGGATGGTTGCCACCATTCTTGATCTTTCTGTGACCTTTTGAAAGCTTTCAAACAAACTCAACAAGTGAGACCTGAAATGACTAGAGATCTTTTAGATTTATTTCAGACAACTTTTACCTTTATAAACAAGTTTTGAGTAAAAACTACTGACATTGTCTTATCACAGCGTATACCACATCTCCAGGCAAAATAAGATTTTCAGTTTACGAGAACATACATTGCATTGACTTAAGTTTCAGTAACCAGTAACCATATGCCCTTTTGGAGGACATTTTGTGTGAATCTCAGGCAGCAGGTTTGCAAGTCAACAAATGGAGGATTTTGATTACAAAATAAACAATCAGTTGAACAAGGACACTAAAATCTAATGATCATTTATCAAAGTTAAAAATAGAAAACTCTGTTTGAAGCCATTTTATTCCGAATGGAACTAATGGGCTAATGAGAGCAAAATTGTTTTTCATATAACTGGTACTCTCCAGCAATGCTTTATGGAGGTAGCAAGCTACTTCAAATCTTATTGAAAGCACTGTACAGCAGTGGCAGATCCAGACCTTGAGCTAAGGGGAAAACCTGGTTTTTTTTGTGACTTGCCCTGCTAGTTTTTCTTCCTTCTATGATTCTTTTTTTTTTTTTTTTTTTTAACCCAGAACAATGGGGGTCCTACGCCCCTCTCCTGGATCCACCACTGCTGTATGGTATGAGAAAAATCTTAAAAAAATAAAATTAATAGCCATATCATTTAACACATCCTGGACAGGCTGACAGCTAAGATAATAAAAACACATGTATACTATTCCTATACACCCAGCAAGAGACACTTTTTAACTAAAACCTATCACCTGTGGGTAACAAAGAAGTTGAAACCTAAAAATAGTGTTACCCTACAGGTAAAAAAGAATCAACAGAATCAGATCATGGATTTTAGCAGATTAAATCCTTACCTTTATTAACTCTTCAGCAATATCTAATCTCCCTTGTCGTAAGAGATGTTCACATAAAACTTCATTCAGCAGAGATGCATTTTCACCATCAAACACCCCTGGTTGACTACATGTTGTGTTATCTATCACAAAATTCTGGAAAGCAACAATCGATAATACATATTAATGCAACCTTTTCTGCATTTATGGCATTGATAAAAACTTTGAAAGAACTCATAAGGATCTCAAGGCCAATAAAGCAAAGTAAATATCGCCAATGACTATATCCGCTTCAGATGCAAACGAGCTATTGTGTGACAACAACACTGTAAAGACTCATCATGTCAATCACTCAGATTTTTTAAAGAAAACTTGGCTTTCTAGACAAGATCTTTAGTAAAAAGCAATTCTTTTTATTTGCCACAAAGTTTATAAGGATCTCAATAAACTTTGTTGCAAATAAAAAGAATTGCTTTTTACTAAAGATCTTGTCTAGAAAGCCAAGTTTTCTCTAAAAAATCTGAGCGATTGACATGATGAGTCTTTACGGTGTTGTTGTCACACAACTCATTTGCGTCTACAGCCAATTTTGTTCATTAGCGATGTTTACTTTGCTTTATTCGCCTTGAGATCCTTATAAACTTTGTTGCAAATAAAAAGAATTGCTTTTTACTAAAGATCTTGTCTAAAAAGCCAAGTTTTTTTAAAAAAATCTGAGCGATTGACATGATGAGTCTTTACGGTGTTGTTGTTGCACAATTATAAACTTGTTCGCGTCTTAAGCTGTTATAGTCATTAGTGATGTTCACCAATGTTTACCAATACTTAAGCTTCTGTTTGATGTTCACCAATGTTCACCAGTGTTTTTTTACTAAATATTGTTTACTTTTCTGTATGTTTAACTTCTAATAAGTTTAATGGATTGAGGACCAACTTGCCAATGTCTCTACCCGATTGTATAAGTCGGCGAGTTGGCGTCGGCGAGTTGACTGGATACCTCCTCTGGTATACATGTGCAAATAACAACAAGCCAGAAGAAATTTACAAACTAAAAAGACAAAAAATATTTTAACTTAAATAGAACACATATTGCCCCAGCCAGGCCTTGAAACAGCCCCAACTTTCTCCTCTCATACAACATATTATGGCTTACTCTATCAACAGCTTTTCCTATCTTTGAAATCCCACCATGCAGTTCTTTGTGCTCTGTGGCTAGTTTTGAAACTGTGTCTTTAATCTTCCTGGAAGACTGGTTAAGGAGGTGTAGCTGTAATGGGGATACTTCATCATCTTTACTCACTACATATACAAATGAAAAAAAGGTAAAACTTGGACCAAAATCGAATGAAACAAATGAATTCAATCCATGAACTGAAAATAAAAATGTTTCCATTTGAATGACAGCAATTTAGAAATAAATTGAGATTAACAACAATTCCCAAAATTCATTCTAAATTTCACAAAATATAATTGATTTCTAGTTAAAATTATCTGTTAAATTATAAATTGAAACAACTTATAGCGAAAGAAAATCAGAAAATCGTGCATTTGTAAAGAGCGTAAACTGTTTTGGTTTCCGTACAATTTTACGTAATGCTAAAAGAATTGAAATGTGCGTAAGGGTAGAATTAACTATAAATGTACAGCTTAATAAAAAATAACGCTTCTTATACATATGTAAATTATGAAGAGATACATTTTCCTGTACAATCCCAGTAATTAAAATAAGATACTCAAACGATACTGGCGATTATCGGTATGTAAAAACGAGTTTGGAGAGAAATCTCTAGTAGAAATAAAATCTTAAATGTAGCTTCTTTCTCACTTTTCGATAACTCCTCTTGAACATTTGAAATCTGGTTGCTTAATTCTGCCAACGAAGTATCTGTATGTTCCTTTATGTTGTTGTATTTTTGCGACAACCTTTCCAATTCTCTCTCGACGCTTAAGCAAGCGTCCATTTTGTTTTCTGTATCATTAATAGCCAAGTAACCGCGTCTCAGTTTGCAGTTTGCAATACCTGACGGGACAACGTCATTTCCCTGTTGCACTTGTCGCCATCTTGCTGTTAAGGATTATTTGAACTTGCAAAGGACTTTCTTTAAAAATCTCATCCAACAGAAGGCTCAAACGATGGGATGCGACGGCGGTACGATTCCCAGGAGGGATGAACTCGTTAGGATGAAGAAAAAGCCTGAGCAAGTTGAGAAGAATTATGAATTAAACGCAAAATGGTTCCATTGTGCTCTGAGTCAGGCCGAGTTACGGGAACCAGTTGTATGTTGTGAACTGGGAAACTTGTACAACAAAGAAGCGGTGCTGGAATATCTGATCGACAAATCGTCTGTAACTTCAGATGTCGCCAGCCACATTAGGAGTCTGAAAGACGTAAAAGAGCTAAACCTCACTCACAACCCAGCCTTCGAACAGAAGTCCACGGAACAAGCCGATAGCTACTTAGATTTTCAAGCATCACGTTTTATCTGTCCTGTCGTTGGTATCGAGATGAACGGGAGATACAAGTTTTGCTTTCTGTGGAAGTGTGGCTGTGTGTTCTCCGAGCGAGCCCTGAAGGAGGTCCCGTCTACTGTTTGCAACAAGTGTGGAAAAGCTTCCTCTGATGACGATATTGTTGTTATCAACGGTAGTGAAGATGAGGTTAGTGGTATGAGGGCGAAAATGGAGGAAAAGCGCCAAAAGGCGAAATTGGAGAAGAAAGCAAAGAAGACAAAGATCTCTGAGACCACAACTTCGGCAAATGAAGAATCTTCAGGGACCAGTGTGAATGGTGAGAGTCAAAAGGATGACCCAGGAAAGCCAGCAAAGAGAGCTAAAACCGAGCATGAGCCCTCATCGTCAACGGACTGGAAAACTAAGGGGCCGAAGCTCAATGGGGCATCTTTGTCAAAGGGAAAGCTTCCTGAACTGTCAAAACATAAGACTGTGGCTGAAGACCCGAAGGCAAGCAAAGTTTTTAAATCTCTCTTTGCTTCGAGCAACAAGGACCGACCTAAACACCTACAGTCAAACTGGGTGACTTATCATTCCTATCATATTTAGTTATGTGCATCTTGTTCACTTGCCAAACAGCATGAAGTTAAGTCTATATTTGCATGTAATTTTTTTCCTATCAGTATGGAATCAACTCTACAGCAGTATTTAGTAAACCCCATGTATACTTGGCTATTCATTAATCATACCTTTCATTTTTTCTCCTCATGACCTTATTTTATGAAACAACATACAATTTAGTGACCTTAAGTAGGCATGAAGGGTCTAATACTCTAAGCCACTGAAATGTTTCTCCTTTAGCTTTGCTATTTCCTCAGCTAAGTAAGGTTTGATTTCCCAGTTTAAGGTACATGTACCATCAGAGCCATCTATAAGAGCCAGCAGCTAGCCAAAACCACTGCTTAGTTTGCAATCCTTATGTGGTTACTTTCACCTCATATTACCATATTTACTGATGAGAAGTAGTATTATTGTTGAAACACCTTAAAAGGAATTTGTACATAAGCCATTTCCCAGTTAGTAATGGAATTGAATGTGTTATTTACTAGCCACAGCTTCTTAACAGGCCATCAATTCCACTTTCAGAATTTGCTCAAAGGTTTCTTCAAACTTCATGGGATGCCTGTGACATTTTCACCTGCAGTTAATTGATTGTAACAACATAGTGTAACTGATAACCTGGTTACCTACTATTTGTCCTCTACACTTCAATCTAATAGACAACCCTGTTTAAAGATGATGAAACCACAAAAGAATAAGTTTGCAATAATTTTAGAATTACTTTATAAGTAGAAATGTTCGGCCAGTTACATTCACTAACCTAACCTCACAGAGCTGACTGGTTATGTTCCTTAGTAAGTGTAATCAATGAGGGGGGAGGGGGGGGGGCTCTTTATCATCCGTTTGTAAATTTCAAAATGTATTTTGCAGTAATGTTTAGGAAGCACTCTATTGTTACAAATAAAAAAATTCCTTCAAGTGACTGTTGGTTGCAGTTTTCTTTATGTGGCCATATTTTCTTTCTTTACCCACAAGAACATTCAGTTTTGATGTGCCTTTCAAAGCAGTTGATAAAACACATGACATTCAAATCCCAGCAATGTATGGTGTTCTTCATATGAATCTGGTTTGATGGCCTAGTTACATATAGTACCAGGCAATGGAGCACTGTAAGTACTAGTGAGGGGGTTAAAGCTTCTACTTTTGTTGAAATAACTCGGATCTTTCTTTCTTTACTCAGTAACATATTTAACATCAATTTCTTTGTTTGTTTGTTTTTTACCACATTGATGATGATTTTCTTAGTTTAGGCAGAGGTCCTCTTTTAAAAGAACTAGTAACCCTAATTATACTCACCCATCATGGAAGACTGAAAAGTGAGTGAGAAAAAATATGAAAGATTTTCCCCACACCTCGTTCTATTCTCTACTCCGGCAAAAGTTAGCAGACCGGCAGATTACCATTGATTTCAGGACAAAACCAATTTACAGTTTCCTGACAAGCTGACCCAAGTGAATTTTTTCACCCAGAATATGCAATGTTATGCACTCAGATGTTTATAAGCCAGAGTAGATGTGGGAAAACGTTAAATTTATTCAGTAAAAATGATTGAAACGATGCAAAATTCCATTCACAACTTTCTTTTATTTTCTATTACTCAATGTTTAAAATATATCTGGTACCATTTTAAAGAGTTCTCTGTTAGGTACAAATAACCATTTTACAATCATATAGTCTGTTACAAGCTTTTTAAAATTAAAGAGCACACAACCCAAAAAGCTATGAGAGCCATGATTGAACTGATGTAGAACAGGATGAAAACGAATCATCTATCAACAACTTAAAAGAAAATCATAAAGTCCAGCTTGCACTATTTTCTCACTATTTATTTAAAAGAAGAACGGTAATTTGCATGTAAGCAAACCCAACATGCACAAAAAAGTTTAAAAAGCCTAAAAATACAACATAATGTTCTCTACAAGACTTCTGGCAATGATCTTGTGACAGAACTTTCCACCCGTTGTAACCTTGTAAAAATCATGTACCCACCCAACTGCGATAACGAGAGAGACTGAGGTTCTCTACCTTTCTGAATAAGTGACACAGCTACAAACGTTTAGCCAGATTGAAATCGCCCTTCACTTTGTTCTTGAATTTAGTTTATCAATTTCGGTGTTTTCCCTATTATCGTATATTTTCTGTTTTACTCAATTTTATTCTATACTATAATTTTTTAAAATTCTACTTAATTTTACACGTCGCCTGAACTTCGTATATCGAGATGTAGCTAACCTTTTCGGATTGAACGGTGATAACATACGCCATTATTTTCAACATTTCTAAGATTTTAACTATTTTCGGAAGAACGCGAGTAAATCGCGCACGTGTGACCTTCCACTCGTGTGTGCCGATCTAAATCACTCGTCCCTTGACACATCGAGCGCAAGCCACGCACATTAGTTCACAAACATTGTCTTTTATTCCACGAGAGTATTTGAAAGTTCGCGCCTTCGACGGATGTGATCCTCCAGATGTTTGGCCTGTTCCATAAAATCTGCCTCCCAAACGAGCGTGTATCCAAAATCTGAAATAGCTTTCTTCCACTCACAGCCATGTCTCTCAATGAACCCCATTCCTCCGGTCAACACCAACGACGCCGATTTAGGAGATGAGGAGCTATGCGTGTCCGCGAGACAGCGTACTGCGGACACGTGACGGTGGATCAACTTCAGAGGCTTCCGCGTCGAAGGGTCTACGAGAACCACGTGACCAGTGCCCAGCCCAACCCAGAGCGTCTTGTGCGAAAGAAGAAGACTAAGCACTCGTGTTTCCCGTAAGTTGCCTGTAAACCCAGCGTCTCTGAGAATTGTCAAACAGTCAACGGAGCCAAGAAACTTAGCCTTGAAGAAATTCCAGCATTCCACCACTGGACTATCCCGAGTTGAGATCCAAACGAACGACGCGCCCACGGCGATGTTTAACACGAGACCCTTGGCCCTGTTTTCGGCGGCCCACCGGCGCTCAATGTCGATAGTTACCTTGCTGCTGTCTCCTTCATTCACCTTTGCCTCTCCATTCTTTTTGACTCTGAGCACCACTACTTCATTACCGCATCCGCAAAACAACCTCCTCTTGCCAACAGCCATACAGGCGACAGGATGACTTACGCAGTCTCCACAGGACGTACCTTTGAGGATTTTGCTGTAACATAGGTCAAAATATGTTGGACTGGTGTCTTCTACTCTTAAACTACAGCTGTTATACACAGCTAGCTGACCATTACTGAGTCCCGCCAGCACTACATTCACTTTGTCGTCTTTGAATGGTTTAAGGCAGAGAACGGCATGAGGCAACTGAGGCTGGGAGAACAGGCGCTTATGGTCCCAGGCGTTGAACACCCATATCTTTCCGGACTGAGTTCCAGCCAGAACAGTGTCGCTATCCACTGCTAGGATGCTCATAACCCGTTTGTCTTGAATCAAAGTACCTGTGCAGCCCTAAAAAAAAACGAAGATAGTGCGGCAATTGTTACTTTATGACGGAACTGCACAGTGGAAATACACATTATACGACAGATGTTTACACTTGAAATGACATTTAAAGATCGAAATAGTTTTCAAAATTAACAAAAATATATCTCTTTGGCAATTTGTAATTTAGAGTTGACAACTGAGTTGAAAATGTAAATTAGCCACCGTAGAGTTTAAAAGCTCACGTTTCGAGCGTTAACTCTTTTATCGCTCTAACAAAGGACTAACGCTCGAAACGTCAGCCTTCGAACTCTTTACGGTGGTTAATTTGCGTTTCCAACTCAATTGTTAACACTAAATTACCTTAAATTAAAGTTCACACGGCAACCAGGAGGACAATCAGACATAGTTTGATGCTACTCTGGTTTGCAGATTTAATGAATGTAACCGAAGAAGTTATAATTCATAGACCCAACGTTTCGACACTCCTGTCTAGTGCCTTCATCAGGAGTGATCTAAACGCTGCAACAAGAAGTCCTTTTATATGATCACTAATTAGTGGCCATTTTTAAGGGTTAAACCCTTTTTCTGGAAACGATACATCGATGATGTTATTTCTGCGGTATCCGGAAATGAAGCGGAGTGCCTCTTGTCGCACAAGGATAGAAATTTGCCCTTTCTTGATTTAAATGTGTCCAGAGGGGTTCAGGGTAATTTAGAGACAAGTGTCTACCGTAAACCTACCCACACCGACAAATACCTCGCCTTCGATTCTCACCACCCTATTTGCCATAAAAAGTCTAGAGCCAAAACTTTACTTAGGAGGGCTGACTGTCTACCATCTTCACTCGATTCGAA